TTTTTTTTTTTTTGCTACAGTTTGCTTCTGTTATCGATTTTCACAACACTCATTTGAATGAACACTCTTAAAGCAACTGTTAAAGTCCAATTAACCAGCACCATAAATTTTTATTTATCGATTTTCGTTGCCTATTTTTTTTTCTTTTTTTTTTGCAAATTTTTATTGTCGGTGACTAAATTTTAAAAAAATAATATTTTTTTTCCTTAATAAAAAAATTGTATTGGAATATTAGATTGTTGCAATCTTTGATCAAAAAAAGAAAAAATGAAAGAGAGGAACGGCATAAAAGCTGACCTGTTTATAGACAACTGGATCTCTTGCAAATACATAGAGCGGATAATTACAGTTTGTCGAAAGTATCACAAAGCTGTATTCACCGTTTTCGTTCAATGGACCCACATTGATGACATGCACTAAATCATCCGAATTTACGATAAAACAAACCAAAAATTGTTTATTTATTTATTTATTTATTACTGCTACACCAGCACGATCTTACCAACCCTACTGAAGATACCATCATCATCACCTTTACAGTCGTCATTGTCGACGGCAACAGCATTATTACCACAAATATATGTTTGAATCAAAACTATTCCAAAAAAAAATAATATTAATAACATTTTTTGACACCTTCTCCACATTTCCTGTTTTTCAATGAAGAAGAAAAAATCAGAGCAATTGAGAGAAAGAAGAAAAAAAGGTTGAAAAAAATGAAGAAGTAGTAAGAAATTTTTGAGTTTGTAGTTAAGCAAATAAGTGCATTTCAATAGGTATATTGAAAAAAAAACGATAAATGGTTCAATTTCCCACTTAATTTTATCACGATCTCTTAGCAACTAACCGAAATTGTCGAAAATTTAATCCCATATTTGTGATCATGTTGAAAAACAAAAGTGGGCTCCATTTTTGGTACAGTTAAATAACATTTAAAAAAGCTTTATTTTTTTCTGCCTTTTAACCACACTGAATCAAAAAACTTGCTTTCATTAGAGATGAATTTAACCTCTTACCAGTAACATCTTCCTTGTAGCTGGTTGTCCGATAAATTAGCTCTCCTGGTTGTTTCAGGATTGCGTAACCAGAGCTTATCCTTGGTTTTACATACGGTGTACCATCAGTCGTATATTCAAAGATTTCAAAAATTGTGCCAACTCCACCATTATTAACGTCAGCAAGTTTTTTGTAAACTACCATACTGCAGGACCCCATAGAGAATGGAGGACTGTTCATTACCTTTAATCCATCAAATTTTTTATCAACGTTTAGACTATCTAATATCGGTAATTGAAGTAAAAACTATCTACCGAAGTACTAAATAAAGTAAAAAAATTTATTTGACTAACCTGATACCATTTACCCATAAATGCGTCGATGTTAAAAAATTTAACCGGTACAGGTTTCGGGTTACAGAACGGTGAAGCTGGCTGTGTGATCAGATTCTGAATCATTTCCAAGTTTTCCTCAATCACAGCCTTCTGACCATCGGTGAGTGTAAACGAGCTGCTGTTAAATGTACCGTTAGCTATTGATTCAGCCCAATTTGTACCATTACCCTAAAAAGATTATGCTAAAAAAAATGGCAGAAGTTTTTTTGATTAATTGCCAGTTTTTTTTATCATTTTTTAACTAAATCTATCAGAGACTGGTATATGCATATAGATATTGACTTGCTAATACCTAAATATCTAAAAGTTACTTTCTGAATTTCTGAAAACTATTTTTTTCTGTTATTAATTTTTTTCCGTTTCGATTTTATCGTATAGATACTTCCAGCCATCGTAAGGTATAATGTTCTAAATCTTCTAAAAGTTTAATATTCAAAGAGAAATTAATTAATTTGAGAAATTTTAAAAAATTTTTTTAGATTAAATTCAGTTACCTGTATAGATCCGGACGTTAATGCTTTATAAAGAACATTTGAAATGACGTTTTTAGCTGGAATCGGGCTGTTACGACCACCGATAATGTTGCCAACAGTTTGACCAAAACTTTGCACATCTGTATTCATCTTCTTTTTTGCATTCAGCCCAATCAGATTAATTATTGAACCGATCAAACCGCCACTTCCACTACTTTCGTCAGTCAATGCACCATACTACAAAAATTGTTTCTGATACTTCAGTGTTCCCTGTCGACAAAGGCAAAAGTATTTTAGAATAAATGAACAAAAGTTTACCTCACTGCTGTCTGGCATTTGTTCTGTCGCTGAGCCTGCATCAGGAACACCTGGTAAGCTTGGAGCTCGTCGAAATTCAGCTGGTCCGAGACCTCCTTCTGGTACTTCAGGTTTCTCGTCAAATTTTGGCATTTTAGGCATCTAAAAAATTTGTTATTTGAGCAAAAATTAAACGAAAAAAGTTGTTTCTAAAGAAACAGCACACATTAAAAATTGTTATAAGGCAAAGAAAAATATAATAAGTTGAAAGTAAAAACAATTTATCTGTATCACTTACATGCTTTGATATGGCCTTAAAAAATGACGGTTGCTGCAGCTGAATTGGCGGTTTTGCTAGATCTGGGAATACATTTGGAATTCCTTTGATAGATGATTCAGATCCAGATGACTCAGTTGTATTGACGTTTTCATCAACATTTGCATGCTACAATTACCAATTATCATCGCTGTTTGAATTTTAGTATATGTATTAATCAAAATTATCATAAATCTTTAACAGCACATAAAAAGAATAAATAAGCCAACAAATAAGTAAATAAATGTGCTATAGAAAGTTTAAAGAATAGTGAACGGGTAATAAACTAGGAACAGTAACAGACAAAATTGTAACCAAACAGTTACATTAAATAGTCTAATTTTTGGTTCAAAACTAAAAAATGAATTAATTACTGTCAAGTTCCATTAAAGTTGGATTTATTTGTTTGTTATTCAGAAACAGGAAAAAAGTATCAATTTTTCTGCAATTAATAACTTTTCTTCTTCCTGGTGAATTTTGAAGTGAACGGTGATATTGAATCAAAAGTTTTAGTTCTATATTTTGAAACATGTAATAAATCAATGCAATAAACTTTAGAGATTTGACAGCAACAGATCTTTTATTTTTTTTTTTTTTTGATGATTTTGTACTCACGGCGAAACATAACCCCAGTTCAAGTTATTGTTGTTAATACTGTTTGTTGAAGGTCTGTCTGTTTCCATGACCGACAATTTCTGCGCTCAAAAAAGGCATGTTTTTTTGGGGCATTTGCATGATCGTCAGTTTATTTTGCTAAACTAAAGTCAAATAAACATGAATTTATGTTCTTTTTCGTTGTTTCTTTAACTCATTTTTATAAGCATTCGTGATTTTATGCTTTAAAAATATAACAGAAATTTATTCCCTAAAATTTATTCTTGTTACGTTTAATTATTGTTATTGGACGTTGAAAAGAAAATAGGTAAAAACGCAAAAACGAATAAAAACACTCGAAGAAAGAAGAAATAAGAATTAAAAAACGTTTTTGATCCAATCACTCAGTCAACGTTTATCTGACTGTAACAGGTTAATAGTCACTCAGTTCACAACAAATAAACTGTCTTTACAGATATCGCTGAAACAGTGATGTCTAAGGTGAATTGTAACAGATTTGTAATTGAACAGTAAAACTATTTCTTATTTGGATGTTGAGTAGCATCGATTTAATGAGCCGATAAAATATCAGCAGAAGCAAAATAGAAAAAAATGGATTACTCACCTCTGGCTTACTGTTTTCAGAAAATGAAGCAACTGAACTACCGCCGTTGGTCAACGAAAAACCTTGATTAAAACCTGGTGGAAGTTGAAATTGTTGAGCAGACTCACCACCTGAACCAGTAAAGAACTGTTCCAGTGTTTTTTCCAGTTGACTAATACCACCACCAGATGGCCCACCATTGATGTTGGTCGGTGAAATCGGACGTGCTATTTCATAACTCTTTTCCGGTACCAAACCACCAGGACGCGGTCCAATCAATGTATCAACCAGTTCACGCGCATGACCATCCAATTCAAAGAATGATTTATATTCCGGTGGCACAGTCGGTTTAGCAGCATATTGCGGTATATCCGGCAATCGAAAAGCATCGTGTTGCGCATTTGCATAGTTGGGTAGCAGCAGCAGTAAAATGTTTGTCAGCAGTGGTAATAACAGCATATTTTTCTGGTTGATCATCGTCAAATTTGGTTTTGTAGCTCAGTAGGCACTGCAGTATTAACACAAATAAAAATTTTTATTTGTTTATCACCTAATGCTGTTAACCGTTATTGCTGTTATTGTTGCTGCTGAATATAGTAGTGGATTGACAGTAGTAGTAACAAAAAATTATTTATACAAAAAGCAAAATTGTATCCTTGTATCTTTTCTTTTCTTTTCTTTCTCCTTTTTTTTTTAAATACAATAAATGATTGATAGACTATCCAAAAAAAACTTTTTTTTTATTTTTACAGTTAAACCCTACTCGATTCACCAGCAACAAAACGGCTAGGCAGTTGAGCAGTCAAAAACAGTTAAGTCAGTCGTCTGAAAATGTCGGACACAGAATAATAGCAAACAGATATGTTGAAGATTGCAAATTATTTTTGGGCAACACCAAAAAATCCAGCACACTGGGCCAACAACCTTTACACAACAAAAACAGCGATAGAGCAAAATATCTTTTGAATTTAAAAATCAGGAATTTTTTTTACTTTTTCCTTATGAGAAAAAAAAAGAAAAGAAAGATATGGTTGACAAGCAATAATACATATACAGGTAGAAAAAATAAGGCAAAGAAAAATGCGTATAATCACCCACTAATGCACAGTAGGCAGACACGTCAAAAACAACAAAAATTTTTCTCAATGCTAATGGAATATAACAACAACAACAACAACAATAATAATAATAATAATAACAATATAATAAGTAGGAAGATATGAAAAAGATGGTGAGGAACAAGGGTTGATGATGACGATGATGAAAATGACAACGACGGCAACGATGATGATGATGATGATGACGATGAAGAAAAATAAAAATGAGAAAAAAAAAAGAAGGACAGTCAAAATCAAAAATACAGAAATAATGTTGTTTGAAAAATACGCATTGAATTCCTCCAACTGCAGGCAACGGATGGAAAAGAGAACACACAAAAATATATAGGTGAAAATTCCGATGAAGTCCGTTAAAAAAATCAGGTCACTGGCCGTGTACAAATTTCTGTAATACCAACTGCGGATTCTGCAACATATCTGCCAGTTTATTTTGTAACGACTTCGTTGACGATGAACCTGAGGGTAATCCAGCTGCCGATTCAGCTTCCATTTCCTTACGCGCCCGTTCAGCAAGTTCTTGATTCTTTAGCACACTAAAAAAACCATACAAACTTTAACCTTTTCACCGGTGATAAATCTTTGTGTAACCCAAGTGAACCACCGTTCAACCAACAACAAAACCTCCATCCCCCCTCAGACATATGGCCGATAAACAGTCAAAAGTGAGAGGAAAAAAGCTCATAAAAAGTCTATTTTCTCAAATCGCCTAATGTTTGATTCTGAACACTGTCTTTTATTCTTCACTGTAGAAATAAAGTCATATTTGAAAAAAGCTTTGTACAATGTCTAATATTGTTTTATCCTAAAAACAGAAAATGTCTTGTTTCCTTTAATCGTTACAGTTTTACACTAAAAACAAATACTTACAAAACCTAAAAATCTATTTACCCAGAAACCTCCTCCTGTCCTTCCTTCAAATAATTAGATTAATTCATTTGGCCACTCAATCTTCTTTTCCTCATTATACAATAAAAACTTAATTAAAATTCCACAGCAAATTCTAAATTTCCTGAGAAATTTTGTTGAACCTCTTTTTTTAACCAGTAAAAAATAAAAAAAAATTCTTTTTCAGTCTAAGGAATGTTGATCAGTATATATGAGTCAAAAATAATTTGATCCTGTTCACTCGATTCATAAAATTCTTCTAGATGACCGTTGACAACCGATTGTGACCATCGTTCTTCTGACATAATCAATGACGATTTGTAATATTAAAATAACCATTTAAAAAACGCATGTAAAATTACCGTCTTGCAAAAACTTCTTTCTCCGTTGGCCAATTGCAATCAGGACCCTGATAAATTGGTCTTGGCGAATTCCAAAATACTCTTCCACCAAATCCGGACTTTTCAAGAAAAGCAGCTACTTCTTTGTTGTATTTCTGAAATTCGAGCAATGTTTCAAGCATTGTCCAAACAAGGAACAATAATCAGCTGTTGATCAATGTTTGCTGAACACTGACTAGAAAGAGAACTGAATGTTGGATTACCCCTCAACTTGACCTGTGCTCCTCCAGTCAGCGATCTACAATCTGTAAAAGGAAAAAAAAAAGCCGCTAAACAATTTCAAAATTAGAGGGCTTCTTAAATCATTTAAAAAAAAAACTGCTCTTTTTTTTGCATAAATGACTGTTACAAATTTTGCAAAACCAATTTATATTAGCATTTTCATTATTTACTGTCAATTTATCTCGATTAGTTTATAGAATGTTATTTTTGAAGCTCCCTTTCCGTTTGTAGACCATACTCTTTCATATCTCATGTTTTTTTTTTTTTTGGAGAAAAGATAACGGAAAAAGCTTCATAATGAAGAAAAACTGAAAAAGAAATTAGTTGGTACTTGATAAAAAATAGCAGGATCTCTTGCAAAAACCATTAATGCAAGTCGATTTGCATCGGTAACAACCATATATTCGTATGGTGTATCATCAGCGTTATCCTCTTCAGTTTCGTTGGAATAATTTGGTCCTACTTGAACGATATAAACTGAAAAATAACAGTTTTTAATGCATTGAAATTTCTCGACTTTTTGAACAGATTAATTTTTCTGAAATAGACCGGAGAAGACGCAATATTGTTGTGTAACCACTGTAGTGTTTTGAAAGACGGAACGTAGATAAAAAAGGGAAAATTCCTATTGCATTACTGAGCATATAACTGAAAATTTTACCATGAAGAGGAGACTAGATAAATTGAAAAACATACATTGCCGCGGATAAAAATATTCCTCGGTATACATCCAGTATTGGCCTGGTCCTACTTTATTTAGATCACGTTTATATGTTTCGACTGGACCATTTTTTGAAACAATTTTGTAAGCTTCTTCCATTGAAAAACCATCCTCGCCCATCACCGAATTTGGTTTAACTTAAAAAACTCTATGCAGTTAAAGTCAATTTTTCCTAACAGTTTTTCATATGCAGCAAGATTTGAAGGATCTGTTTAAACTGCTATACGCATTAATCTTTTCAAATGATATCTGATGGTTATAGTGCTTCTACGTCCAAACTGTAGAGTACCAAACCAGCAGCGTCGTTCCATTTTCAAAAAAAAAAATTTACTATTTCTTTGTTTTGAAGAAGGAAAAAGTGACATACAGTAAGCAACTGGACAGAACATTTCGGTTCGATAGACATCGAAGTTGACAGCAGCTTTATACATCTGAAGTTTGGATAATTTTAGTTGTCGTTTTGGAACAGTAACAGTTCAAAATATTTAAAAAGTTTTTTCTGCTCGTTTATTTTTTAAATTCTAAACTTTGAAATCTTTTATTTACTGTTGGTCACTGTTCTAAATGTAACATATGAAATAACCCAGGAAGAATGATGCAAAAAAATCGTACAACAAAGTATAGTACCTGAAACCAACGTCCCATAATTTTACGTGATGGAACGTTTACTGTTTCAACGGTATTTTGTAGCATATTACCGATTCCGCCGATAATACCAGCGATAGTATTGATATCCATCTTAAATTAGATGTTTGTTTTTAATTAATATTAGTACATTGTTTTAACTTGAGTATTTGCTTTTTCCATTCAACTTTTTGAAACCATTTTGAGCGATTTGTTACAAACTGTTAGTTGAATTCTTTGTATCAAATTATAGTTTATAATTTGCAATTTAAGTAACAAATTAGACTATGCGTTTTTTCTTATAAGGGTCAACTATTTTTGCGAAATCTTCACAGGTTAAAACTGTTTCAAAAATGTTTTAGTTCAATTGTATCCAACACTCCAGAGCTACTATTTAATGCCTTGATTGCTCACCGTTGCGGAACTATCTATTTCTTTCATGTCTGAAAGAAAGAAAAAAAGTTAAAAGTCTCGATAAAAACTGAGCAAGTTAGCTGTCAACTGATCTTACGTGTTGCTATTCAAATATAGCGTTTATGATCTCTCTACTCGTTAACTACCAAATTTACAAAAAAAACCTAGGCGGCAGCCTTCATTAAAGAAGCGGTTATGAAATTTGGTAAGTACTGCAACTGGTCAAAAATTATAAAATAACTTCTAAACATTCTAATGAAGCAGCTTTAAAAAAAAAAGTAATAAACTACAGTTCATTTACTGATTGTACATTAGAACACAGTAGGATAGAAGCAATAGCTAGTTTTGCCAGAAAGGCTTACTGGGTTTTACTTCAAAAATCTTCAGTCCGTTTTTATAAAAAAGGGAATGGAAAGACGAGATGTAGCTTTGAAACTGTTAACATATTGCTTGTTCACAGTTGATGATTTGATCAGTGGTTTCTTATATTACCAAAAATAAAACGCCTTTAACAATTTCTTGTTGTGAATATAAACCAAAAAATTGGCGAACTGTTCTTCCACAATAACTGATTGCATAAATTCGTAATCAGTTCAGAAAACTAAAATGAACTTTCTTATTACATCTTCACAGAGCCGTACAAAAGGTTTTACCCGTTACAACAGATTAACAATGACCCCTTTAAGATAACCGTGACAAAAATGAACAAATTTGGCATTAACAGCTCAACAACCTTTTTTCGTATTTAGTCTAAATTTAAATCTAGGTGTTCTTAGAATTCCGGTAAATAGTTACTGAGTAAATGAATCACTGTATCACTTAGCACTGCTTTCGTCAGTTCGACGAGCTTCCTTGCTTCAGTACCTTGAACTGCAGCCAAAGTTCAGTTGATGAACTCCTTTTGATCTTTTGCTCAAATTTATTCTAATAGTTGACACCATTTGATGTCAATATTACTAATACGACAAAAGTTTGTCATTTTTTGTGAACCAGTTTTTGCTTTGTATAATTAGTCATAAGTTGAGAGAGTTTGAAAAAATTAAACTGCTTTGAATGCATTGAATTTTGGAAGGCTAATATGTGTGTGTTTAAATTCATTCATCTAAATTTGGTAAGCCTGAATTCGTATGATTTATACCTGTCAAGTTGAAGTATAAACAAAAAAATGAAATAATTTTGAAAATCAGATGTCATTTGTAAAGAACATAGCTTAATCAAATCATCAGAATCAATTAATAAAGCCCAAATTTATTGTCAACCTATTTTTTATTCCTTGTGGAAGTCCGAGACGTAATTACCGAAGGTTGACAACTCAATTATTTTTCTACCATTTATCCACCTTTATGCTTCTTTTTAAAAAATATTTCATGAATAAAATAATCAAAACTAAGTGTGTGCACAAATCATGCTTAAATAAATTTTGTTCATTGGCCTACCAAGATATGTTTGGTCTAATGACAGCAAATCTGACAAATCTGCTTATCACAAGATGTGAATTATAGATCTATGTTTTTTTCTTACTGAACTACAAATTAAAGAGGTGCTGTCCAATTTATTATGCAGGCACCAATGTAAATTTGTTAGTTTTTTTCGACTGTACCTCACATTTTAACAAAATTTATCATTTTATAGTACACAGCAAAATATGAGTAAGTGAAATGAGGTGGCAAAAAAAAATTGTTGTGAATTGGAAGAAAAGCGTAAGGAAATGAAACAGTGTAATAATGGTCCAGGTTTGGCCAAAGCAAATCCGTTCACCTTTCATTTTCTGAATAAGTTTAGAAAAAAGATTGCAGTAAATTCTATCTTAGAAACCAAATGAAAACAATATGTGCTATTTTATCAAAAAAATAGATATCTATTCTTAGTGAGAAGTTACTGACGTATACAAATTCGTAATCACAAATTTTTTTTCGTTTTGGTGTAACTTTCTCAAAAAATCTTCCAGTCCGACAATACAAAGAAAAAAGCCTTTCTATACAACCTTTGCTGTCAGCTGGATCAAATATGCTAA